ATCATGCAGCCACCGTTCCCACTACAAGATACGCCAATTCCAGCGGCCGAGAAAGGTGCCTAGAAAGGGGGACAAAACACAGTTCCTGCAGTCCCTCAGCACGACAGGGCAAAGGGGCATTCTCACCGGCCTTCTCACCGGCCTTCATGGGAGGTCGGGCATGGAGAATCAAAGAGGGCTGGAGAATGATGTTTGGGAGTTGGAATTTACAAGCTAAGGTTGGTTTAACACTTGTTGAAATTTTAAGGAAAATTTACAAGTTGAAGTTAAACTAAGGACATGTTTAACACTTGTTGAAATTTTAAAAATTTACAAGTTGAAGTTAAACCAAGGGCATGTTTAACACTTGTTGAAATTTCAAAAAAAATGTACAAGTTGAAGTTAAACTGATGTCATGTTTAACACTTGTTGAAATTTTAAAAATTTACAAGTTGAAATTAAACCGAAGTCATGCTTAACAGTTGTTAAAATTTTAAGAAAAAATTACAAGTTAAAGTTAAACCGAGATCATGTTTAACACTTGGAAGTTAAACCGGGGTCATGATTAAAGGAAGGAATGATATAGGTTCCATCACCTCAGGATGCCGAGGTAATAGAACCTAGGGGGCAGTTGTGGAGACATAATTTTTGAATGACAACACGTGGTCGAGGTGACACCGAAGTGTTAGCCGAGGTGTTACGTGTCTTGGTCATGACACCGAGATGATCTCGGATAGGCCGAGGTTATCTGCGAAGAAATCAGAATCCAAGATAAGCGGATAAGGGACAAGAGTTCTAGAATAAGAGAGGACTTCAGTTTGGGTAAAGATAAGAGTTTATCCCAATCCTACTGGGAGTCTAAGATTAGCAGTAATCCTAAATCCATTGAAGCTAGGCTTCTATTGGGATTAGGTTTGTGTTGGCTATAAAAGAGAGGCACCCTCATGGGTCTAAGGTATGCTTTTTATGCTTTGAATAGTGAGTTAAGCACTTTTACTATCTGTGAGAGATAACTGACTTGATTGTCGGAGTGCTCCCAGGTGGACGAACCACCGCGAGATTCTTATCTTTTTGTGACAGATTGTTCGGGTTTAATCTATTCTGCCGGTATTCTTCAGCTGAGTGGCTGATTGACAGTATGGTCGGAAATTGACACACACACTAATTAAAAAACTTTACAATATAAAAAAGTTATATTTATGCATAAAAGGACCAACTTTAAAATTTTGCCTAAAACTTCAAAATGTGTTGCGTCGTCCTAGTTGAAGCACTTTATAGAAGGTCGTTATATAAGTGAATTATGCAGGTAAATTTCCCACCATTGTGGTTGCAACAAAATCAAGGAATTAAAGAGGTTTTATTTTTAAGTTTTGTGAATTTTTTTTTGAAGGTTTTTGCCACTATAAGAGGCCTTTTTATGGTCCCATTTGATAGAACTGTAAAAAAGTGATTATAAATTATAATTTAACCGATTATAGTTTATAACTGTGAATATAAGCTGGTAACTTGTTTGGTACAGCTGTGAGATTATGATTTTAAGTAATAGAGTAGTGTTTAGTAAATAAGCTGTAAAATACCTTTTAACTATGTAATTGTCATTTTTGCCCTTATGAATAAAAATTATTATTTTTTCATTTTCTTCAGTTTTAATTTTTTTTAAAAAATTATTTCATTAATGAAAGTTTATATAATTAGTATCAATTAATATAAAAATTGATACATTTCAATACAACAATTGTTATTTCATTTTTTTTAATTTCATTTTTTTATTATTTCATTTTTTTTCATTAATATCAATTAGCAACAAATTTTATTGTTATTATTTATTGCAATACGAAAGAATTTTATACCGATATAAAATTCTTTTACTAGAAGTTATTTAATTGAAAATTTGTTATTTTAATACCAATTAATATTCAATATAAAAATTGTTATTTTATATATATATATATATATTTCATGATATTTCATGTTATTTAATTCCAAATAATAATTTTCTTTGTTAATTTTGTTTAATTTATTAATTCATTAAAATTAATACCAATTAATATATATTTCATTACATATTATTTGTTATTTAATATAAAAATTATTTTAGTGTGATTTAATATAAAAATTGCTATTATATATATATATTTTTATATTAATGTTGGGTACAGGCCGGAGATGGCTCGCCGTCGCCGTTGATGACCTAGCCACCATCGAAACAACGTCAGAGATGTGCACGCTTGTGCGCGCGAAAGAGAGAGAGAGAGCCTTGGTTTTCCGACCAGATCGCGACCCTTCGGTTAGGTTTCAGATCGCGATGGCGGTGGTGAAGGAGAGAGTTTCAAATTGTGTGTGTGTGAGAGAGAGAGAGAGAGAGAGAGAGAGAGAGAAGAGAGATCACAAAAAGAAAGAGAAGAGATAGCAAAGAGAGAGGACTCTGTTTTGCATCCACCGGAAATCACTCTAGTTTGAAATCTCTGTCGAAAATCGCCTCTCTCTCTCTCTCTCAAGTGAGCAATGAACAGTGTTTTGTGAAATGGGATTTATATAGTTGGGTTTTTGGTAATAGTTGGGTATTAACGAGTGCATTTAAGTAATTTTAGCCCCCATCACACCAGCTGCACACTTAAGTCGAAATCTTAAGCACCTCCTGACCAGCTTTTGAGATAAGCTGAAAAATAGTTTGATTTAAGCTATAAGCTAATTAACTTAAGCTGTACCAAACACAATATTTTATCTTAAATTAAGTTAAAAGCTGAAATAAGCAGCTTATAAGTCCTACCAAACAGGCCCTATATGTGGCTCAATAAGAGTAATAAAATGTTGAATAAATAAAAAGTAATAAAAGTCAATTTAGCAAGTTTCATCCTTTGTGTAAATTTAGTTCAAAGCTCTTAGTAGAGATGCACTAGCCAAACCATGATTGACCAAAAGTTATGCTTGAATTCCTGGGCTTAACCTAATTTTTTGGTACTAAAAAAACAAAACAAAATAAAACAAGACAAGAGAGCTCGAGCTAAAATATATACACATTATTTGGGGCTTAAGCTCAAAGCCAATGGGTCAGCCCTTTGTCGAAGGTTTTGAATATTAATCCAACCCACAGGAGCTTATTGGGCTTGTATTGAGCTGAACTAGCCTAGAAAAATTTAAGTGGGCCTGCCCATTTACTAGCCGATCAATCCCAAAGAAAGAAAAATGCACAAAATACAACTGCCGTAAACTTATCAAAGGCCCACTACTTTCTGTCATTGTCTTTTTTAAGTGTCTTTCGCGAAATTAAATATTCGCAGTGTATTTATTAAATCCTAAAATAAAATATTTGTACCAATTAATTCTATATATTTTTAATTATTATCAATTTTTTTAATATATAAATTTAAAAATACTGTTACATTCTATCACTGCTGGACTTCCGTCAGACGGTCATCGGAGACTGGTCAGAATGTTCAACATCATCAAGAAGTTCGTTGGAGTATCGCAGGAAGTTCGCAAGAATATTGCCGGAGTGTTCACAACGTCACTGAAAATCATCGCAATGTCCAGAATGTTCCTGAACGTTAAGAAAATCATTGAATATTCACCGAAATGTTTAGAATATTGCTGAAAAAAAAAAACAATGAAGAAATTGTAGTGAAAATATAACAAAATGTGCTAAATATTAATAACTTGAAGAAAAAAAAACAAAAAATCATAACAACAACAAACAACAATGGGAAAAATATATATTATTTTTAAATTTTTGTAGGGTTTAAGCAAATAATCTCCAATATTGATCAAACTGAAAAGTAAGTTTTGAAATTGTAAAATGTTACATTTTCAAGTATGATTTTATTAAGCATTTTTTTTTATTAATGAAACTGAAAAACATGTTATGAAACTTTAAAATTTTACAGTTCTAAAGAATGTTATGAAATTGTAAAATTCAGAACCAAAAAAACTGAAATTATAAAATTTTACAGTTTTTATCACTTGTAACTAAAACTCAAAAATAATTTGTTCAGAATTTGAATTTTTTTCATTAAAACTGGAAAATAAAAGTGTGTAACAGAGAAAATGTAAAAAAAATGAGAGATCAAAAGAGAGAAATATATATATATATATATATAAAGAATATTGTACTTCGACAACTATTTTTGATTTAGATTAGTTTATTCTCATGTAAATCTACTCAGATCTGAGTAGATTTACATAAGATTTGAATAGATCTACTGATCTTCTTCGCTGTAAACTTGTCTCATTTGTCGTCAGTGAGAGTGAAGTAAAGAATCGGTGATCGGTGGTTGCCAGTGAACCTCAATCAATGGTGGTCATCGGTCGTTGGTGACTATATGTTAGAAAGAGAAAGAAAAAAAAGTAAGATGTGATTGCTAATCACCGGAAAGGAAGAGAAAGAGATAGAAAACAATGAATGCACAAAGAAGAATGAAAATATGCAATAGACTTTTGAGAGTGTTCAAAAAATTGTGGGACTCAGGCTTCATTTGGAAGCATGTTATTTTAGTAACTTTTTGATTTTTTAGCTAAAATATGAGGTAAAAAAAAATTTATATGTTTGAAATAATTTTTTGATTTTTTACAAAAAGATATATAAAAAGTAGAGAAATTTTTTTTTTTGACTTTTTAATATACGTTATAGATTTTTTAATTTTTTAAAATAAATTTTAGACTTTTAAATTAAAACTACTATTTTTTAAACGAAGCCGAAATAGGCTTTTCTTTTTTTAAGCAGGACTTACATGTAATTTGTCCTATTTTAAAAAAAGAGAGGAAAGAAGAATGAGGAGATAAATTTGTAATTTTATGAGATATTTAAGTGCTATTATTTTAGATTCTTTCTCAAATTATAATTTAATTAATTTATTTTTTATTTTTGTCTGGATGCCATTTTTATGCAAGTATCCAAAAAATACATGTCGAGCCAAAATTTATTAAAAAGTGAACAAGAGTATACTGGTGTGTTCAACTTCAGAACCTCATACTTTTTCAGCATATCTGGCCACTGAAATTGTTCACATCCGACACGTCAGAAAATAGAAAATCCACAAAATATTTAAACACTAAATAATATAAATTTCTAAGGTGGGAAAACGATTGGCTGAGAGTGCGAACTCCGTATTGAGGTACACATTCTGAGAGTCGCCAGTGCCGCCTGGAAGAAATGAAGCCCCACCACACTCACCGAGGCTTCACCTCCAGACCACCACCAGCACTACATCTATACCCCACTCACCGCCGCCTCAGTGTTTCACCAGAAATCGATCTCCGGCCACGAATCTCGCCGGAAAACCATCGTTCAAGGCATGTTTCAGCCAAGAAGCGACGCCGCATCACTCTCAACATCCGCCATATTGCCGAAAATTCCGGCGAATTTGGCCGGAGTTCGACTACGGGAAGGCGTGATGTGCTGGTCACGCCGTTCCTGGCAATCGGTGCTTGTTTTTTGAGGTCAGCGGTGGCGAGAGCGGATGAGAAGACGCTGGAGAGTGGTGCTGCCACACCCCCGCCCGAGACGGTGACGGCCACGACGGCTCCTCCGGTGGCGAAGGTTGAGGAGGAGGCTATAAGTTCGAGAGTTTATGATGCGACGGTGATCGGAGAGCCGATGGCGGTGGGGAAGGATAAGAGGAAGGTTTGGGATAAGTTGATGAATGCTAGGGTTGTGTATTTAGGTGAAGCTGAACAAGTTCCGATTGGTGATGATAAGGTATTGGAGCTTGAGATTGCGAAGAATTTGAGAAAGAGGTGTTTGGAGGCTGAACGTCCGTTGTCTTTGGCTTTGGAAGCTTTTCCTTGTAATTTACAGGAACAGCTCAACCAATACATGGATAAAAGGTTGTTTTTCTCACCAAACACTCTGTTAATCTTTGTTATGATTGTGCTATTGATCAGTTGTTATTGCTTTGTCATGAAAAAATCATATCTGAAATTTATATGTTTTAATCAAGACTGTAGATAGCAGTGGTTGGGAGTCAGGAATTTAATATAGGGCACCCATTAATCTCAAATTTTTTTTTCTCCAATCAATAACAATAACATAATAATAATTTTTCGAACTAATATTAAACATTAAAAATTAATGGGGCACTTTGGGAATAGGCTAAAACAGCCAGTTTTTTGGTTTTTTAGCCAAAAAAGGTTAGTTTTTTTACCCAAAATAACTCAGTTTTTTTGCCAAAAAACGTATAAAAAAAGTCAAAAAATCAAAAAGTCAGCTTTTTACCAACTTTCCAAAGCACCACAATATTCATTACAAAATGTTTTTAATTTTAAACTGTTACAATTGATTCCGACTAGTTTTCATCTTTTGAAATTAAAAAATTTAAATTTAGCACAAATCACAACAAATCAAATTTTCTAATTTTAGCACAAATTATAACAAATCAAAATTCTTAATTTAAATTTTAATCACTGCAAATTGATATTTTTAATTTTAGCACAAATCAAATTTCTAATTTTAGCACAAACGACAAAAAACTAAAATCCCTAATTTTAACATAAATCACCACTAATTAATATTCATAATTTTAGTGTGTCAAAATCTCTTATTTTAACATAAATAATAGCAAATAATTTTTTTTTACAAATCAAAATTTAACAAATAACTATAAATTAATACTCATAATTTTTATTTAAAAATAAAAAATAAGAAATAAAATTACCTATAAACAATGAAGAGAAGATACCAAGGTTGTGGTGTGGTCCCAAATCTGTGTTGTGTGATCTTAATCGGTGAATCACGAGTCGGTAAATTGCAAAGCAACAAAGGGAGACAAAGAAAACAAAGAAAATACGAAGACAGTTAACAAGTACTGTGAATAAATAAAAAAATAAAGAATTTCATACACTTTTAGGGTTTTAACCTTGCTGTAATTGGAGTTGTGTGTACTCACAAAAAAAAAAAGTTGTGTGTCAGTGTTTGGTTGGGATTGGAATTCAAAAAAAAAAAAACGTGGGTGCGTGTAGTGTGTCAGTGTGTTTGGGTAAATTGGGAGAGCTGTGTATTATATATAGGAGGGGCACTGTGTGTAAACAAGACTCCACTAAAAAAAAATAAAAAAAAATTGAAAAGTCAGGGGGCATGTGACCCCCCTCGCCCCTATGTCCCTCCCCCACTGGTAGATAGATTGTTGGTTCAGATGATTTGATGGCTTGAAAGATATATTCAGAAAATTACCAGCATGAGTGTATTCAATTGAGAGGATTCTAATTAACTTTGGCTGCCTTAGGGTCATTTTCTTCTTTTCTTCCTTTTGATTAAAGTTGAATAGGCTACGACATTGCCCAAAGGTGATTAATGACATTTTTGAATTTCTGGCTTTCGATTTCTTAATGCTGTGTTTGGTTTCATGCATATGGGTTGGAATTAGGAAAGAGAAAGAGAAAAAGTAGGTGTAATTTGAATGAAATATAACTACATTTCACACACCTTTTCTCTTTCTCTTTTCAAATTCCTACACAAATCCATCAACCAAACACAGCCTAAATGTTTGCTTAATTGCGCATCTTTTATGAAAGCTGGATTTTAAAGTGGGAAACATGTTTATGTAATACTCCTAGTTTTAATTTGACATTGACTTGTTTTAACATGTACTGAATTGATCATGCCATAAGGAATGAAGTTTGTAATGCCATGTTAAGAGGGACAAGTCTAAATCCAAATAGGTGAAGTGTCAAGATGATACGCTTCTTTGACTCAAATATGTTGAAATTCCTGTAGAAAACTTCTGTTATACCCAATTTGAATCAATGTACAATGCATTTGGAGCCAATTCTAATTAGTTGGAGACATCCTTTAATTGATAGTTTATATAAATATAATCTTTATGCAGTTGTACCAATGCATTTCATATGAAGTGCTTTTAGAATGGGGCACAAGGTTTTAAAAAGCGGCCGCAACTGTTACGTAACACCGTTAAGTAACGGTTGTTGTGATTACCGCCACCCGTTACGGCCGCTTTTGCAGTGTGATTGAGATTCACAGATGTGTCGGTCGTAGCGGCTGCGTAGCAGTCGTAACGGTGTCATAACAGCCGTAATAGCTTGTTACGCACCATTACGTAACGGTTCCGAATTGCTTCTTTCGAAAAAACACAAAAAAAAAAGCCTGAAAATAGGGGAAGAGAGATAGAGAGAAGAGGGAAGATAAAGAGAGAAGATGAAAGAGCAAGAGATAAAGAGAGAGAAGAGAAAAAATGAAGAACATGTTATTGATTTGTTGAACCTGTAAGACTTATGCTATTCTATTCAGCTGCTATCACTCAACCATTTTGTTTGTATGTGTCCATCTATATATTGTTTGAAAATAATAATAATAAGTGTGGTCATTATCTATTTGGCTTGGTTAAAATATGTATATATATATATATTTAGGCTCTTATTTATTCTCTTACTTTTGTCATTGTTTATCTTATATATAATAGTTAGTGATTAATTTTTTGTATAATATAAAGTCATTAATTATTAAAATAAAATGTAAAAAACTCAGTTTATAGTAATTTAAAAATATAAAACATATTGGATCATACTTAAAAATTTACAAAAATTGATCAATATTTATTTTAAACCCAATAAATATGATCATGGAAAAAAAAAATGTGTATCGGTAAGTTTTTTCAAATTGTGTGAAAAATAAAAAAATTCACGGTTTCGGTTACCGCAACTGTTACACTATGGCCTTTACACCTCGCAACCGCAATTGCATCACTGCTACCGTTACGGCGACCGCAACCACTTTTCAGAACCTTGGGCACGTTGGATTTTCTGAAGACATTTTTCATTATTTGGTCCTGAATCCTATAACACTATCCCGGACAAGTTCAAGTTTAACTTGACACTCAGCGAATGACCACAATCTTTTCATGCCATTGCATTTGGTACCCAAAAATTGGCAGCGAGGCCACTTTGCATAGAAAATGAGTGTTTATACCATAGGGTTTACATGTCCTTAATCGTTGGCTTGAGTTTATTTCAACAAGGGATTGCTATTATAGTTTGATTCACTATTTTAAGATCTTTTCAAGCCCATGCATGTGATGAAGGATTAAGAGTACATAATTTGAAAGAAACAATTGAGCATCCTTCTAATTAGTATGTACTGGAGTATATTAGAATTTTATTTGAGTTTTTGAGAGAGTTTTTAAATTCCTCAGGTTCTTAACATATCCATGCTTCCTTTGAGGTTTTCAAGCTAGCATTTTCTTACCCTCACACTGTCTACCACCCAGTTGGGTTTTAACTTATCTGCAAGCCTCAGAATTTTCAATGCTTTAGGATGGAAATGTTTCTGATTTCCAATAGGTCTAATCAGTCATTCTGTTGTGGATTATGGAACTAATCAGTAGAGAGTTGTTTTGATCCTTTGTTTTTCCTTTGTTTTTTAAAAGTAATTTTGTTTTATTTATTTGGTTTTCTTGAGGTTCCCCTTCTCGAGTAAGATGCGTAGTTTGTTGTAGATATTCTTGTTTAAGATTTGGATAAAGCAGGCTTCTTATGATAGTGCATTATCTCATATTTCTGTGCCGCTTATGGTAAAGCCTTCTTTACTTGATTGCAGAATTGATGGAGAAACCCTAAAGTCTTTTGCATCACATTGGCCACCTCAACGCTGGCAGGAATATGAGCCACTCTTAACTTACTGTCGTGATAATGGGGTTGGCCTTGTTGCTTGTGGTACTCCACTTGAGGTGATTATGCATTTCCTTTGAAGCTGTGTTTGATATATTGCCATGTATCTTTATGGTTAGAACTAGTACTAGTGGATAATAGATATAGAACAAAGAAATAAACTAGAATCGATGGAATAAGGGAGCTTGAATTGATATATCAAATATTCAAGTCTAACCTCTATATCAACTTACAAGTATGCACCTTTAATGCCAATGTTAAGTTGGAGATAACAATCATAAGGAACACGCTACCTTTTCTATCATTTATGCTAAAACATTTTTATTGGCAAAGTGTTCTGGTAACCATGACAGTTGCACCTTGTCATAACTGATGATGCTGTTATCCAGTGAAATATTTTCTAAGAAAAGTTATCACATTTATATAATGAAGTTAAATAATTTAATCGTCTAAACTTCTGCAGTTTTGCTATTTTTATATATATTTTGATTTGGTAGATTTTTATGAGGATTTTATTATTTGCTATTAAGACAAATCTCTATCTAACATAAAGGAGTAAACCTTTTTATCTTTTTTTATGGTTGAAGAGTTACCAGTTATTCCTATATTCTGAAATTTTCTTCTATTAATTAGTCAACTTGCATAAGAGTCTTTGTAGTGCATATAGAGAATTTCATCCTAATCATGATATAACTATTTGCCTAGGTCTTGAGGACTGTTCAAGCTGAAGGTATTCGTGGTCTTTCTAAAGCTGACCGTAAAATTTATGCTCCTCCAGCTGGTTCAGGATTCATTTCAGGCTTTACTTCTATCTCGCGCAGATCATCGGCTGATATTAACTTTCCTAGCCAGTCTGCTTCTTTTGGGCCAAGTTCATATCTATCTGCACAAGCAAGAGTAGTGGAGGAATACACAGTGTCCGAGGTCATCTTACGAGCGATGTCAAATGGAAGAGCCACTGGTATGCTAGTAGTGGTTACTGGTGCAAGCCATGTTACATATGGGTCAAGTGGGACTGGGCTACCAGCAAGAATTTCAAGGAAGATACCAAAGAAAAATCAAGTTGTTATCTTACTTGACCCGGAAAGGCAATACATAAGAAGGGAGGGAGAAGTTCCTGTTGCTGATTTCTTATGGTATTCTGCTGCCAGACCCTGCAGTAGGAATTGTTTTGATCGTGCTGAAATTGCCCGAGTGATGAATGCAGCTGGCAGGAGGAGAGATGGCCTACCCCAAGTAAGTTGTTTTTGAGAGTCTTCTTTGAGATAGCATAGCTTATATGTGTACTTTGACCCACTATCTGCACAACCGATGTGATTGATTTTAATGATCATATGGTTTTTAGGGGCACTTTTTCTGGATACAATGGGGGTGTTTGGGAAGAAAAAAAATAGCCTAGTTTAGGCTAAAAATCACAAAAAGACAAAATAGACTAAAATAGCTAATAAGACAAAATATCACATCAAACCCATAATCATTTCACTTTTTCTCTCACAAACATCACATCTAACCACAAAAAAAATCCAATCATCTTCCCAAACACAAAAATTTTAGCCTACTAAAATAGTCAAAAACTAAAATAGCCTACTAAAATAGCCACTTCCCAAACGAGGCCAATATGAATATCAAGCAAATAGTGGTATTAATATCCTTGAATAAACCATGTAACTTTTTCAAGATCTCTCTTTATCTTATTCTTCTTGGTGTCGTATTCTTTCTTCTTCTTCCCTTTTTGTTTTCTTCTCTCCAATTGATCTCTTTTGACGTAATGTTCTTTGAGAATATAATTAACATTAAAGAGACCCCATCTCAGTTCCCAAGTCTCATTTTCTCCAATCTGACTTCCTTTGATTCACAGTGAACCTTTATGGAAAGGATTTTGGTTATTCTCTGAGTCATTTTAGAGGCATCTTATATGATGTGAATTGTGAGTTGTACAGCTTTTGGAGTATTAATAATTTGGTGTAACGAAGTATTCCTATTATGTGTAAATTATGAACTGATTTTGCCTAGATTCTCAACTTTATAAATTCAATCATGTCTAATTGCCACAGTAAGAAATTTTTTTAGTGCATTCCACATAGCCTTGTCGATGATTCTTGGCTCTTACTAGCATAATTGTTGCAAAAATTCTACATCAAAATCACTTTAATCAACATTTTGATGTTCCTTACATTACATGTATTACATTGCCATGATAATTTCTTGATGTAGTTCAAAGTAAGGAATTATGGCCTTTAGGTTTAGATATAACATGTCTTGGGACTTGAGCCTAGAGTGTGATGATTTGAACTAGCGAGAAAAAGTTATTTTATTTTTTTAAATCTGGCAAGAGAAAGAATGACAATCAACAGATATGTCTGAATTGGCTATCAAAGCTGTAACAATTACTTGATTGAAAACAACGGTTTTATGAATTAAGGGAATAACATTTTTCTTTATTGAAAGGAAAAATGTCTTGGAACTAAATAGAGATGAAATTATTATTAATAATATGTTAATGGTTTTCTTTTTTTGCAAAAAGAAGGTTCAATGTAATGTTGGCATATCATATAGCCTAATCTTCCAGAACAATATTTTATGCCATTACTGAAGGTGAAATTGGTAAGGGAGTTGTTATATGATGGACTGAATATTTTGATGTGTTCTTATCAGGACCTTCAAAAAGGACTTGATCTTGGTGTGGTATCCCCGGAAGTCCTGCAGAATTTTTTTGATCTGGAGCAATATCCTTTTATTTCAGAACTCACTCATCAATTCCAGGTATGCTTCGTTTTGGCAATTACTTTTGTGTGTGATTTAAAGGTTGTTGAGCTTAAACCTATTCCATCTTTTATCTTAGTCAGTTTACAATATGTGCATGTGGAACCCTCACTATTCACTTATCTACTTGGTGATTAAACAATAGATAAAATACAGTTGACTAGGGACTCAAAGTTGAGCATCAAACGCCTTGATGTTGCAGGGATTCAGGGAGAGATTATTGGCAGATCCCAAATTTTTACATAGACTAGCTATAGAAGAAGCTATATCAATTACAACTACTCTCTTAGCACAGTATGAGAGGCGTAAAGAAAATTTCTTTGAAGAGCTTGACTATGTTATTACGGATACTGTCAGGGGATCAGTTGTTGATTTTTTCACTGTATGGCTTCCTGCTCCAACCTTGTCTTTCCTTTCAATTGGAGATACGATAGATACACCAGACAGCGTGGAAACATTAAAGGGCTTACTTGGTTCCATACCTGATAATGCATTTCAAAAGAATATTGCTGGGAAGGACTGGAATGTGAATCATAGAGTTGCATCAGTACTTTTTGGTGGTTTGAAGCTTGCTGGTGTTGGATTTATTTCCAGTATTGGCACTGCGGTTGCCTCAAATATTTTGTATGCAGTACGCAAATTACTGAATCCAGCACTTGACACCAAACAACGGATTAAAAGATCACCAATACTTAAAACAGCAGTTGTGTATGGGGGCTTTTTGGGAACTTCAGCAAATCTCCGGTATCAGGTAAGTGCAAGTAGCATTAGCTACAATTCTTTTCTTTTCCTTCTTCTTCTTCTTCTTCTTCTTCTTTTTTTTTTTTTTTTTTTTTTTTTTTTTTTTTTTCAATGCTATTTTTCCCTGAAGCCATTTATGATTTCTATATTCTATTTCTTGTTTTCTCAGTAAAAGGTGCCGAAGGTAGATTTAATTAGTATTGACTATTGACAGCATGGTTATGGCATCCAAAACATTATGGGTTTCTGTTCTCTTGGACATGAATGCATCCACTGAAAATGGTCCTACTTAAAGAATATGTTCTTAGAATTGACCAAAGGGGATGATCCTAATCAATAAGTAATCAGTCAAGAAAAAAGTTTGATAGGTTGACTTGCTAGGATGCATATGATTAATATTTTGTCCTTGTATTATCAGTGGTCATAGACTTATAAATAATGGATCCTTGAATATTTTTATAGAAAACACTGTTTGATCATTATAAAAGAACAGATAAAAGGGCAACACTTCTGATTAATTTAACTCTTTGATCCTATGTTAATTGTGATATCATTACCACTCAAGAGATTTATCCTGGATTTAAATTGATGATCTGTCAAACAAACATTTGGAATTAAAACAATCAACATATAGCTAACTCTTCGCATGGAATGTTTACAAATAATGTTTTTCTTTTCCCTCCCTTTTTTTTGTCTACTTATTTCTGACTTCAAGTCACTCTATCAGTTACTTCGAGCACACCCCTTCATTTAGTTCATCTCTCCCCCATTTTAACTATTAAGCTCGTAATCTCCACCAAAGCACCTGTTAACTTATTGCTAATATCATCCATCTAAGCCATAATCTGCGTGTATACTTTACCTAGTGTTGTCAAAGTCCTATAGTGCTCAAGCTAGAATTTCAAATTGATGCTTTCTTATTAATCGAATAAGCACTGAAACATGAGTTATTAAACAGTGCCAGTGGACATCACTCTATAATGAAAGAGTATATTTCTATTTATTTATTATCAACAACAAAATAAATTCTACCTGAGAAAGTGCCAACTGAGCACAACAAATATACAACCAAACAAAAAGAAGACAAAAATATCACTATTTTCTTACTCTCTTAATCCTTAGTAAATGTTTGGTATTAACATCAGAATAAATTTTAATGCAGGTTATTGCTGGAATAGTGGAGCACAGAATTTCTGATCAATTTGCCTCTCAAACATTACTTGTAAATATGCTATCTTTTTTTGTTCGGACTGTCAACTCCTATTGGGGAACCCAGGTTAGATACATCTTATTTTACTTCAACTTCTGGGTTTTGTCTCATTGATTTTTTATTTTTATTTTTTTATAATTTACTGAGAATGATCAGACGAATTTACAATATAGCTATATCCTCATTATTTTGAGAATTTTGTATACTTTGGTTGTCTTGTCAATGGATAAGGCAAGGCCATTACCTATTGTTGGTTGCGTTAATACGTGGAGCTGGAAGGAGGTGGGCTGTGTACAAACCTAATCCCTAGCATTATTTGTTTTAGTGTTGCCTTGTCATTGCATTTGCTCAAATCATGTAGTCAAGGTGAACGTTGTGGGTATCCCTTACACCATCATGTGTTGTGCACATGTGGATGATGACACATATCAGCTCAAAGACACACGTGTTAGTCTTCTAGGGACACGTTGTTGGGTGATGCCTTTGGAAGGCTTGCTGAACCTTAAATGTTAGTCTTAAACTGGAGCTTTCACCACACCCCAGTTCCTTGCCGTAGTTAAATTGCACGACTCAAAAGACTTCATTTGACTTGCTGACATGGATGTTTCACGACTCCAGTTTCGCCTTGCCTCGTCTCGCCTTGCCTTTGCCAATGTGTTCGCCGCGCCATCCCTAGTACATAAGTTAAGAGGTAGGACTTAGGTGTGCTGAAGTCTTCAGCTAAGTGGGTGTTTGGGAAGTGGGTTTTTAAGTGGGTTTTTTTTAGTTGCAGGATATTATTGGATAAAAAAATTTTGGTATTTGGGAAGATAATTAGATTTTTTTGTGGTTGGATGTGATGTTTGTGAGAGAAAAAGTGAAATGATTATGGAGTTGGATGCGATATTTTGTTTGGATTTGTTTTTTTTTAGTTTTGTAAAAACTTTGTCTTTTAGTGGAAAAAATAAAAAAAAACCCAAAACCAAATCTTGCCAAACACGCCTAAGTCACTGCGGGACTCTGGGTCTTGTGGTTTGGTGGCTAGAGATTGAGGTATCACTCAGCGTGATGCCCCGCAGGCGTCACTGCCTTGGGCCAAGCTTATTGAGAGAGAGACTGCCCCACTGAATTTTTGTATAGTGTTTCGAGGACTAAGGAAAATCCTCATGAAATGATATGTTCTAACACATGAAATATTCCAGCATAATTCTGCAATATTCAGAAAGTCTGTTACAGGAAACGTGACATACTTTCTATAAATTGGAGGTGGTGCCCTCCTTACATCCCGATGATTCTACAAACTTTAGAGAGGTTTCTGAGCTCTGTATTATGTGCCTTGGTTGCATCATGCTGCTTCTGTGTCTCTCTCTTGTTGGGCTGCTCTGTATCTCACCTGAACATCCCCTTTTTCATCGGCATATGTAATGTTTGGGTCCACTCTCCTTTGAACCCCTGACCCTCGGTCAATACTACCTTCAATCATAATATATGTACCCTACAAAAAGAGAAGGTTGCTAAAATTTATTGTACTGTTAGTAGACAACTATTTGGAATGTGTAACTTTATCTTTGACATCGGTGTTATTGTTGCATGGGTGGGGCTGAATGAGGTGATATTTATTTTGCAATCTGATGTCTGTTCGTGCTTCCACTAATGCAATCAAATTAGTTTTGTTGTTTAATATTAGTCTCTGAAATTTTTGCAGCAATGGGTCGATTTAGCGCGGTTTACAGGACTGCAAGCTACGAAGAGCGAACCACCCTCTTTCCAGACTCCAGATTCTCCAAATCAAGCTGCACTGGAATGCAACGCTCCAGAAGAGGCTGCTATTGATGAAATCAAGAATCAGTGAGGTCATAATTCTTCTTCATTTGTTAGTTTTTGAAGCTTCCAATACAACTGTTATACATCAATCCGAGTTTCCAACCTACAAGTGTTTTTCTGGGATGACAAAATTGTACATTCAAAGTCGACGGGGCAGGACTAGATCAAGCAAATTAGAATCATTCTTTTGGAGGTTAGGTTGGGAATACTTGATTAAATTGTTGTCTAGATTTTAAGTACAATCATGTATTTTAGTTTTGTAAATCAGATTTTGGTTTGATCTATAGTAGTATGATAGAATCATGAATTTTACAATTAAATCCGTAGAAAGATAAAAATAAACCAAGACAACACGAATCAAATGATCATTATAACACTTTTATGAGCATCGCTTCATCAGACATTCCGATCCAGCTCCTCATTCATCCTATCTTCTAGCTTATGTTTAACTTTCTCAAGACCGACTTCTAGGTTCTTCGGCTGTGTCATGATTCATCATTTCAACATTTAGCCTCTCGAATAAAATTATCCACATACAGCATGATTTTCAATAAACAAACCAATTGTTCAGAACATAAGAAGCAGGTCCTTTCCTCTTGCTGGGCAAACTTATTATGGATGAATAAATAAACAAACCAATTGTTCAGAACATAAGAAGCAGGTCCTTTCCTCTTGCTGGGCAAACTTATTATGGATGAATAACCCGCTAAACAGATCAAAACTGTCTGTTATTGTGCTTTCTTTCTGCAGATATTAATTACATGTTAGTATGTTTAATTATTGTATCCAACACAAAAAAAAAAAAAAAAGCAAATAATTGTAGTCCTTTTGTATTTATTTTTGTCTCTTTGTATTTACTTTTAGGTAGACTTTTCAAAAAGCCTATGACTAGGCTTGCATAAAGAGTTAAAATTTTTGCAACTTTTGAACGTAAAGTCTTGTAAAGTTAGATATGTTAGATATGGAATTAGATAGACATTAAGTTATATTTTGTTTGTATTCCACCCTTATAAGTCTATATTTGGCCTTTATGCCAACATAATAATGTATGTAAATTCTCTCCATATTCTCTCCATTTTTGAGCTTCCTTCTTTGTCTCTAATTTCTCTACCTTAATTCCAGAACTCCACTATAATTTCATAATAAAAATAGTAAAAAGCTCATTTCTTTTTTAGTTTTGTAATTGGTATCAGAACTTGGTGAAGAGCTTTTGAAAGCAAGATCAAGCTATGTAAGTATTTCTATCTACGTATAGATTTTTGATATATATATAAGTTTGTATGGTTTGTTTTATGTTATAAAAAAAAAAAATTTAAATTAAAAATTTCGTCTAAGTTTTTTGTGTATCTTTTGTATTTTATATCTTCATAATTATTTGTTTCATTTATAGTTGTTGTAACACCTATATGCTTAGTGTATGTCAAAGCCCATATACTCGTTAAGATCTTTTGACTATTGATCATAATTAAGTCTTTAAGATCATAAAGAGAGGTTTTAGGCACTAGATAATACACTAGGAGGGTCTTAGGTATCAACAACAATCTAAAATGACAATTAATTCTGATGATATAATATGCTTTGGAAATACAAAAAATAATCTTAATAATAAATATGATCATAGTTTGCATATTACTAAAGAATCTGCAAATATAAATAGTGTGTTCTACTTTAAATAATATTACTGATATTATGTGTTCTTAGTTTTCTAAATTAGATAAAAATCAAAAAATAAATCAAAATTATCTAGAGACTAAAGTTGAGTCTATAGAATCTAAAATAGACAATTTGGGTTCTATAATAAATATTGATTTAAATAAAGAAGCAAAAAAACTAAATAAACAAATTGGTGACAAAATTAGAAACTATATCCTTCATAAACAATGATGGAATGAATAGTCCAGGAGATTGTTACATCCTTAGGCTATTTTATGGTACAGAAGATATTATGGTACTTCAAACCAATAGCTATAATAAAACTGAATATGAAAATATTGTTGAAATATTGGATTATTGGAGAAAATTATATAAAGACCCAGACTTAAGTATTGATGAAAGAAATAGGCTACTAGATCAGATAAGAGAAATTTATCTAGAAAATGAAGCCCTTTTACAACACTTTAATTATGATATTAATATGTTAACTAATGATGATGACAGCCAATCATCCTCATCTGAAGAAACAATAGATCAAGACATTTTATTGGAAATAAATAAAGAGAAAAAAAAGGCAGAAGAGCCAATTGATCTCGAATTATTTGACACATGGGGAGATGGAGAAAATTTTGATTTTATTCAGACAAATGAAGTTAAAAATGATACTAATATTGGAAGTACTTTCAATCCTACACCTGAGTCTGAAAGTTCTTGGTGTCGATAGATGTGGACTCGATCTCCATTTCCGACAACAACCGGTCAAACAATGAAGTTTTAAAGCCAATGGACTGTATATATGTATATGTATTTCCCTGTAGTTTGCTCATGAGCGACTAAAATTGGTAAAACATTGCAATAACTGCCAATTGTGTGAGTCAGAAATTGACTTCTAGCAGCCAGTCTATCATGCTCTTCACAGGACATTTCCAGCAGTTTGCAACCCTGGAAACATATGAAAAAAGGCAAATCCCACTTAAACATTATAAATAAAGCATCAGGACCTCTCTGTTCTTTTCTTTTCTTTTCTTTTCTTTTTTTTGGCACAAAGTTTGCAGAAATTATAGGTAGAATGATAGATAAACCAGAGATATCATCTCCAATTGGGTGAGTAAGCGTCATCTTATTATAAAGAAAAAAAGAAATATACAACAAAGCTCAGGACACATGTCACATGTGCTAAGGACACACATTGACAACGACAAGAAAAAACCTGCCAAGATGATAAATACTACAAGCTCGAGGGGCTAGACCAATTGAACAAAAAACATTTGAATTTTTGTCTGCCACATCACATTGTTCAAGAAAGCTTGAGGTTGCGAATCTTTTCCTTAATTTGTAATTTTTGGATTTTCATACAAGTCATCACACTAATCTGTGTCTATAATACTAACCTTTGTCCTAATTTGGCATGAAATACTTTTATTCTAAAAATTAAAAAGTTATTAAAAAAATCAAAAAGTTTATAATTAATATTAAAAAGTCAAAAATTTCATTTTCTTTCTATTTTTTGTACATCTTTTTTTAAAAGATTTAAAAATTATTCCAAACAAATTAATTTTTTTTATCTTATATTTTAGTAAAAAAATTACTAAAATAATATGTTTCCAAACGAGACCTAGTTTCAAAAATTTGAAGGAAACTGGAGCAAACGGCATGATCCCTTATTAAGACCCTGTCGTACACGAATGTGAGGTCTTTCCAGCCATCTTTCCCACTCTCTGGTCCAAACATGGGGTGAGTGAGTGCACAGCACATCCGATTCCGGGGGCAGTACCTGCCAAATGCACATACATATTCAGCACATACACGAACATGATGTGTTTTTACTAAATTCATGTCATTTTGAAACAAATTTTTCTAAAAACGTTGTTTTGAATTTATTTTTCAAAAATTGAATTGTTTTGAGATTGAGTTTACAAAACATAAACGTAAGTCAGATATATATCTATATAATAAAACAGAAATTTTTTTGAAAATATATAAAATGTATCAGAAATACATTTGTTTTGAATGGCTGAGATCAACCCTAAGAATATATTAATAGTGCAAATCAATGTGATTCCCGCTCAAACATCTCTTCCTCAGCCTTCCACCTACCCACGTCTCTCTCTCCCTTTATGTGCTTCTTCTTTCCTCTTCATACAGACGTTGCTCGCTCTTCCCCTTACAACCCTCCCTCATCGCTCGGCTCGCAAGGTTAGATGTCCTTGATTTCTGTCTCTCCCATTCTCCCTCTGTTTCGATTTCATGCCTCATTTATTCTCTCTCTATTTCGATTTCTGATCTTTCTTTTTATTTACATCTGTTCGACGCTTTCATGCCTCATTTTTTGGGCATCACACACGTGATCTGTATTTAATTGTTTAGGTGGCTTCAAGGTTTTGAAAATCGAACTCGCACTCGCAATCTTTCCTCTCGTTGCTCTCGAATTCGGCTAGCAAGGTAATATTGATTTATGCCTCTCCTCTTCTCTCTCTGTTTCAATTTCTAATATTTCTTTTTGTTTACATCTGTTCCACGCTTTGGTGCCTCATTTTTTGGGCATCACACACATTTTTATCTCCCTAGATCGTTTGATTCATGGTGTAATGATCTGTAACCCTCGCACTCGCAACCCTCCATCTCGTTACTCTTGAACTCTCTCTCATTCAAAGTAAAGAACCCTAATCATGAGTGAACTAAAACCTTAATTTCATTTGCTTTTAAAGAATCCTTGATTGCTACTAAATGTTTGATTGCTAATGAATAGAGTTTATTGATTTTATCATTTTTATCTCCCTTGATCATTTGATTCATGGTGTAGTGATCTGTAACCCTCGCACTCACAACCCTCCCTCTTGCTGCTCTCGAACTCTCTCTCTCTGTCGGGAGAAGGAGATTCCAAGATTCAAAGTGAAGAACTCTAATCGTGAGCAAACTAAAGCCTTAATTTCACTAAATTTTGAAGAATCCTTCACTGCTACTAAATTTTTGATTGCTAATGAATAGAGTTTATTGATTCTATCTTATTTTTTGAATCCATAAGTGTATCTCTCTATCTAAGACCAAAAGTGACTTTGGCTAGAAACTCCCACAGCTTCTGTGATAGATTGGGGTAAATAATATAATGATTTCTTAATGGCGGTTATCACTTGGCTGGTGATGTTTTTGAGTTTGTTTCATGGTTGCTCATGGTTGTTCTGATTCAAAAAATAATATAATAATTTTGTATTTGATAGGTTGGGGTAAATAGTATAATGACTTCTTAATGATAATGTTTTTTTTTTTCCAGTCAAATTCTCAATCTTAGAGCTTTCTTTGTTTTGACACATGTCACATGTGCTAAGGACACACATTGACAACGACAAGAAAAAACCTGCCAAGATGATAAATACTACAAGCTCGAGGGGCTAGACCAATCGATGTTTCGATTGTTCTCTCACCTTCCCAGGCGAGGTCGGTCTCTCTCTCTCGGTCTCTCTCTCTCTCTCTCCCTCTCCCTCTCTCATGCAACCAAACTTGAGGCTTTAAGGTTTGATTCTTTATCTAGGTTTAAACTGGGTTTATTGTACACAGATAGATTATGTAATAACCCGACCTCGTACATGTTTTCTAATATACTTTCAGTCCCTTTATTCTGCACATTTAAATGCTTATTGTGGAATTTCATGAGAAATTAAGTTTAATTAAGTGGACCCTATGATTATAGATCCATATCTGTTTAATAAGAAAACATATCTGTCACAATTAAAATGTTTGGATCAGAAAATGAGAGCCTTAGAGGCTTAATAGTTTGGAATTGATTTGACAATTGAGATCAGCATAATTTTTAAGTCATAATAAGTATTTTTGTGAAAATTTGATTTGGAATGATTAAACTGATTAAATTCTGTCTTTATTCACTTTATATATATATATATATATTTGTTCCCTAGACATTTGACTTAGAATCTTGGAACTCAAATATCTTCTCAAGAGGGTTAGGAAGGAGAATTAGGGAGGAAGAGGAAAAAATCCTTCTAGGAAGAAATTGGAAAATTTGAAAAAAGGGTTTATAGAAACTTTAAAGCTCAAGGTATGTAGATTTTACCTCAATTAACTCCTCTCTTGAAAATGGATGGGAATTCCTTGATGTTGTGTGATGTAGAGTTGTGATGGAATTCTTGTATGTGTGTGTTGGATGGTTAGTATGATAATTTTATCTTTTATTTATTTTGATTCAACTTGAGTTATCTAGCAAGAAGTTATATATTCTAATTTTTCAATCTTTAAGCTTGAATTTATTTATGTGAATAGGTGGTGATATATTTATGTGTGTGTGGGTGTGGGTGTGGGTGCTTATGTAGGTGATGGAAATACTTTGGAATTGAATATGATTGTGAGTTTACGGTAATGATCTAAATTATAGTTAGATTAATATGTGTTTGTGAGTCCCCTTTACATGATTATTAAACCTTATTTTAGCAATTATTGGATCTATATTGAGCCTCAAGGATACTCACCAAAAGTGGAATTTTGCTGGGATTTCGAACTGCACAATGTGCAGAATCGCCGCACGTGCGGGGGTCATGGCCGCACGTGGGGGAAGCCTTGCCGCACGTGCGGGGCTCACAGCCGCACGTGCGGCCCATGCTGCAAAATTTTGTCTGCTCTGTTTTACGTGCTTCACCCTCTGGTATTTTTGAAATTTGTGTTTGATGCCCTTCAGATGCCTGTAAATTCGTTCGAAGTAAAATGAAGCAGGAAATGAATTAAGAAAGAAAAAGGACTAATGTATAAGTTGTGCATATGTGTAGGTCATAACCCAGGAGGGACAAGCGCTTCGTTATAGCACTGTGAGTAGTAGCACAACAGTCGTACATTTATTTACCGTAAATAGTTTTGGCTATTAATACTCTGTACTTCGGGTAATTATGTCAATATTTATGTTCATTAGGAACCGATGTGAACTTATGCATGCGAACTATTAATCTTGTAGAATTGGTTGACGGGAAGAAATTGTGAATGGTTCTACCCCTATCAATGTAATGATGCATTTACTTTCTGTTCATCGTTAACGTTATTGTTCCGTTATTATGGGACAACTATGTCAACTTATGATAGACCATGGGAAAATCTAAAAGCATTATTGAATGATATGTTTTGTTTACTGTTAATAATGAATACTAACATTCTGTTATCTGCAAGTTAGCTATATTGATTCATGACGAACAAATGGAACGTATGTGCACTATGGAATTACGGTATCTACGTATCTCTGGAATAGTTCAATCTGTGAATGTGCTTACCTTTTGCTAATAATTCTCAGCTACGTTCTGTTAATCTGTTAAACTTAAATTAACTATGTTAACTCATGTAAGTGATGGATAGAATGTGTGTACTTTCATATGACCTTGGAACTCTGTATGACTCTGAATAGTCTGCTCTAATGATTTCTGGTATGGAACATAGTGCTGTACGGAACTAAGTGCTACAGTGTGAGTCACCTCTAGAATCCATACGAGCCACCTCTTGAGTCCATACATATGTGAAAGTTATGACGCCTATGGCCGTTCTGTGAAAGTTATGAGGCCTATGGCCGTTCTGTGACCTATGTGAGGCCTATGGCCAATCTGTGACATCTGGGCCTATGGCCATTCTATATGATTTGTTAGTATGAAACAAAGTGTTGCACGAAACTAAGTGCTGTTAGGCGAGTCACCTCTAGAATCCGTGCGAGCCACCTCTTGAGTTCATACATGCATGAAAAGGGCTTAATGCCACTCTGTTCAAGGGCTTAATGCCACTCTGTTCAAGAACTTAAAGCCATTCTGAAAATAGTTACAGAATAAAGTTAACTATATGTCCTCTGCCCTTATACATGTACATTGTAATTCAAGTTAAATGTTAAATTGTTACGTATTACTATTCACTGAGCTTGGCTCACTTTATGTTATGTTTGTTTCTGTAGGCACTCCACTTGGAGGTCCGTCTTAACCCATGGCATCCATTCCTCTTTTGTCAACCTCAGAGGGTCCAGGCACTTATATGAAGGTAGTTCATTTTATGGGGTTTTGCTAAGCTTTCAGTTTTGTACCCTGAATGTCTGTTTAAGGTTGAAGTGTATATAATTCCTTTACCTTTCAATGTTATACGCCCAATCTTGAGGGCTGGGTCTGTATATATATATGTACATAGCTAAATTCTCTGATGCACGTCACTGTATGTTTATCCGCCTTTTGTTTTGTTTGTGATCCTGGCATGATAGTGGTCGCTCAATGGATACAATTCTTTTATTATATTACTTTATGTTGGTAAATGTTTCCGTTCAAGCCCCATATATCTTGTATATCAGGTTAAGTGTCCAGTTCTGAATAGGTCATGCCCAAACTTTTAGGGGCAAGTTTGGGGTGTGACAGATTATAACATATACATCCATCCAAATTCCAACATATTTAACAACTTTTATCATTAAAAATAAAAAGCAAAATGGGATAAAAGTTAACCTTTGAGTTCTGGAAGAGGCACAATCTCCAAATAATCATTAAAGAGGAAAAAAAAAAAAAATTCCCAACTATGTGAAGGATGGTGATTTAGAATGATTATTTTTTGATAAACTATTTTGGTTTGAGAATGATTAAGTTGCTAAACTTTGATATAGTTTTTGGTCTTATAGGTGATGAGAATGCTAATGTTTTTGGATAGATATATTTGAACAATAATAGATTGTGGTGTTGTTGCTGTTTGAGGAAGCTGTTAAAGGAACTCATTGTTGTCGATCTGTAAGCATTTAAGCCCTATTCTGTTCATAATCTATTACTTTCATTCGTTGTGTAAGCTAATAGTGGTGTTGCAATAATCATGACTTTAGTCTTGAAGAATAGTAGTCTAAATTTTTATGTGTACTATTTTGGGCTACTGAGGCACTAAATGTTGATTTGTGTCTCTTCCCCACAGAAACTCTTTCCAATCTTTCTTCTCCTTTTCAGTAAGGCACTAAATGTTGGCAATGGACCATATTTTCTTAACATATAGATTTTCTTAATCCATTAGAAATTATAGCAGTGTGCTTGCAGCTAGATATTCACTACAACAAAATTGACTTTTTACGGCTTGTAATGCATGTTGTAAAAACTCTTTCACGGCATGCACACAAATGCTGTTATATGACATGCCGTGGAAAGTTGAGCGTCATTTACGACATGCAAGTAAAGTTGTAAAAAGTAATAAATTAAACATTAATGACATACTTTGTATGTCGTATATAACTTTTTACGACATTTTTATCATGTCATAAATCATCATACTTTCCATAACATAATTTTGCATGCCGTAGAATTTTTTTTTAATATATTTATGCCATATATAGTATTTTACGACATTTTCTTGCATGTCATAAATCATCACACTTTTCACGACATAATTTTGTATGCCGTAAAATGTCATTTTTAATATATTTATGACATACCTTGTATGCCGTATATAATCTTCTATGACATTTTCTTACATGCCATAAATCATTACACTTTTTATGGCATAATTTTGCATGCCGTATAAAGTTATTTTTAATATAATATATATATATATATAGGAACATGACCTTGCCTAACTGTATGTAGACAATAGCTTATAAAATGCAACCTGTTACAAACCAAGCAGACGCAGCAACTATGAAGTAAGCAAAAAAATCTAATATCCATACACCAAACAACCTGCATACTAACTTTTATCCTTAACTTCTATCATATCAAACTGATAACAACCTCAAACATACAAATCAAAAAAAGTATCCAAATCATAAGATTCACTAATCTCTAAAATACGACTTTAAACATCCAAAAAGTATAACTACAAATTGTAAATCAATTAGTCCAATATTTCGTCCAAAAAAATGAATTGACTAGGCCATGCAACTGTACTTCCTATTGCATCTTGAAGATCATACATCTCATGAGTAGAACGAAACAACGGCACGTTGATTGTTACGTGGTTCACCCATACTTTCCAACACAAAGGTCCAAGAATTGCATGATGCACCTTTGGCTTGGGATCCCTTGATGCAATTTGGCCTTCTGCAACCACCAAGTTTGACCCCTTCCAATGCAACAACTTACATTTGACATTTGCTAAGCTCGACACACCATTACTTTGATCCTACAAAAATTAAGAGTATATAAGCATACTGCATAACATTCATCCCATTTACGAAGTATTAGTTCAACAAAGGAAATGAAAGTGTCAAAAAGCTTCAACGAGAACTCACTTACATACGTCATCAATGTTAGAAAAGAAAATTTCAACCTGATGAATACATATTTTGAGGTAGTCACACTTATGAGTCTACTCAACCTGATGAATTTGTAAAAACTAAATGAACATTCTAATTCAAGTAGATCTCTAATAAGTTGGAAACAGTGAGAAATGAAGAGAAAGAGAACTTTAATTTTATTTTATAAGTTTCATTTCTCACCAAAAGTAGTGAGATTTAGCAAGAAACAAGCTCTGATTGCTTGTGTATCTTCTAGAATACCAAGATTGTTCATTAAAATGCACTAAAAGAAAAGAAACATCACCCATATCCCTATATCACATTTTGCTCTTTTACTCATCCAAACATGATAGCGAGAAAACAAGATAATTTCTTTTCTTTTCTTTTACAATCATTTCTTTTTCTTTTTCTTCTAACCCCACAATCCAAGCGGAAGGTAAATTTTGCCAAGAAACAAAAAGTGGGCGGAAAATCACTATCATCAGGTGTTGGCTTAGAGCTAAACTGTTACTGCTGGACCACATTATAGCCCTAAAAATATGACAAGGCTCAAAAAAAGGATCTTAGGGCATACAAAGGCTATTCAACCACTACATAAACATTACCATCCGAGGTATAATTAAGACACATTTGAATGTCTGAAAAAATATGAATTGGATCTCTTTAGGATTGGCTCATTAACAAATTAGATAAGTACATGTGTTGCACTGTAAAGATGACAACTAAAAAATTGATTAATTTACTTTCTTTGTGAGAATTTAAATTAGTTCATTTCTTTTAAACGTAGAATTACTTAAATATAAAATTGAGAGATTCAAAATCTCTTTTGTTCAACACGACGACAAAATGAGGGATAGGGGTGGTTTAATCACCAGAGTTCAGGTGTTGTAAAGAGTGAGTGGGATGGGCTTGATGCAAGGCTTTGGACCCCACCCCACCCCACCTCACCACCACACCGCACCCCACCCACACACATTGATCCTTCTTGGCAAAGCAAATGCACTGCTAAGGGTACCATCCAGTGTTCACACCATGTGATGTAGACCCCAAGAACAACCCCACGTCGTGGAAAAGGTACCATCCAGTGTTCACATGACCCTTTTTTTTTTAATTTTTATTTCAACTACAGTGTTCACACTATTGTAGAATTATTTTAATACAGGTATCTAATACACTCCTTTGGCACATAATAGGTATCTAATGCACTCTATGAGACCGTTAGCTTGTGGTGGTACTGGGAGCAGCTGCAAGAAATAGAGGACCGAGTATATCTTTGGATTGTATTCAACACATCACCTTTCATTTCTTTTAATTGTTTTGAGAATCAAACACCTCATATTTACATGAAACTATTATAATACTTTGTTTTTCTCTACTGGTACTCCTGACATTTACCTTGATGAAATTCCGACTACAGATTCTGCTTATATGCTAGTTCCAATAGTAAACCCCACAAATATCAACAAAACCCTAAAAGAACTCTATCAACCAAGAATTATGTCAATTGACAATTATTTTCTGTACCATGAGAGAAACAGTGAGCTAAATCCAATGAAAATGCCATATCAAGTCGACATGCTTTATGTTGACCAAAAAAAAAGAAGAAAAAACGAAAAGTTGTCATGCTTTGAAATTAGTAAATCTGCCAAACCACAAAACTTGGTTATTCTAATGAGTAGAGAATATGCAGCAGTGCCTATTTGGCTTGAAGTTCAATCTCCAGCAAATCAACAATGCAGTTTATAATTTCATTACTACAAGACCAGTAGTAAATTGCAAAATGGACTTTGAAGAAAGAAAAAAAAGGCACTTCGAAAAACAGCATAACTTACCATATCTAAACCAGTTGGAAGGTTTGCAATTGAAGAACCACCACATTTAGATAATTTCATAGCTTCAATGTTTTCAGTAACATAACCAACTTCATTCACCTAAAAAACCATAAAAACACTTCATTAAGCATATAGCTACCACATAATTCCAACAATTAAAGACATGAAAAGTAGATAAAAATGTTTTGAAAATACTATTTTCACTCACTGAAGTTGGAAGGTTGTCATGAGGAGTAGATTGGAGCTTCTTTGGGAGGGATTGGTACCCTACAATCAAAGATAAACATGCAAGTGATTTAAATATAAAATAGCAAATTAAAGACAAACAAATTATGTGCCATGACATTATATTATCATGTTTAGCTTTTCCTCTTACATCATTTTACCTTCTTTCTTTGATAAGCATGGCTCTTATCTCATCGAGTTGTTGTTCTAAGTCCAGCACCTTGCTTTCAAGTTTTCTCATGTGCTCATTTTGGTGTACTTGTGCGTCTACCTTAGATGGTAATGCCCCAAATCCTAGCCCTCATACACTCCCACGATTAGATCAACAACAATAAACCTGAGTCATTGCAGAGAAAAACAAATATCAATATCAGCCACCTTTGAACCTTGATTTCTGTTTGTGAACAAACGCTAAATACAAAATCTAAACACAATGTTTGTGAACCAAAAATGGGAATTTTTTCCCTTGGGCAGATGGTTCAACCTAAGAATATAAATGCATCAGCTCATGGTAATACCATTCATTTATCAAAAATATAAGATCTAATTATATACTCATGTGTCTCATTCTCATTTCCCTAAATGGCATACTGAAAGCTTATTAGACATTAAAAATTAAAACATTACGAGAAATTATAAGAGACACATTTCCTAATGACAAGCACAAGACAATCCATCCATAGGTCACAAACAGTATAGCCAATATAAAATTTAAAAAACCACAAATTTCAAATCAAACATCAATACATACAACATTACAAGCCAAACAATAATTCTTCATAAGCCAAACAATAAATTCTTGATAATATTGATTTCAAAGACAGCACAATATTCACCTTACAAGTATATCCACTCATATTAACTTCAAAGAAAATAGCTAGTGAAATTATATAAAAAGGAAAAAATAAAAAGAACGACAAGTAAAGGAGAATTAATCAAGCCCAATAAGCATTCAGTTATATGAAAATCAAATGTTCCTACTTCTCATTAATCATGCAACACTTCCACACCCTCACAATCCATCCTCACGTAGTGTTCATCTTCATCATTAGTATTTGCACCAAGTCTAGATGCATCTAAAGGTGCAGATGGCATATAGGCATCTTCATCATACATATCCAAATCACGAAAGCCTCTTGAAGGTGCTTTAAGTACAACTTCCCAACTAGATGTATCATTATCCCTCAAATACACATGTACTAGACTTGCTACTATGCCCTCAAGAACTACAAACATGGTGGACACAAAGCCCTTGCAGTAACAGTTTGCATACCAAGTGGTTATTCTTTCCTATATAAGATCTAATTATATACTCATGTGTCTCATTCTCATTTCCCTAAATGGCATACTGAAAGCTTATTAGACATTAAAAATTAAAACATTACGAGAAATTATAAGAGACACATTTCCTAATGACAAGCACAAGACAATCCATCCATAGGTCACAAACAGTATAGCCAATATAAAATTTAAAAAACCACAAATTTCAAATCAAACATCAATACATACAACATTACAAGCCAAACAATAATTCTTCATAAGCCAAACAATAAATTCTTGACAATATTGATTTCAAAGACAGCACAATATTCACCTTACAAGTATATCCACTCATATTAACTTCAAAGAAAATAGCTAGTGAAATTATATAAAAAGGAAAAAATAAAAAGAACGACAAGTAAAGGAGAATTAATCAAGCCCAATAAGCATTCAGTTATATGAAAATCAAATGTTCCTACTTCTCATTAATCATGCAACACTTCCACACCCTCACAATCCATCCTCACGTAGTGTTCATCTTCATCATTAGTATTTGCACCAAGTCTAGATGCATCTAAAGGTGCAGATGGCATATAGGCATCTTCATCATACATATCCAAATCACGAAAGCCTCTTGAAGGTGCTTTAAGTACAACTTCCCGACTAGATGTATCATTATCCCTCAAATACACATGTACTAGACTTGCTACTATGCCCTCAAGAACTACAAACATGGTGGACACAAAGCCCTTGCAGTAACAGTTTGCATACCAAGTGGTTATTCTTTCCTAAGCATTCATCAAATCACAATGCTGACTTCCATCCAACGCAGATTATATTATTTGCATTTAAATAGCAATTACATCAGTATAGGGGGAGAGAAATTCACTAGCAACAACAATCAACAGAGAAGGATTTGATATTTGATCTCACAAACTCCTCAAATCAAGTTCACTTTATGCCATGGAACCAAAGCAATACATTACCATTTTTAATTAGGTTATTCTAGCAAAATTCCACAAAACAAACAAACTGCCTCAAAATTTAAGGATAAAGTTAACACCATATCAACTAGGCATAATCATCCATTAATGAACTGCATAGACTATAAAACCTAATAAGATTGCTAATTCAGCGGATATTGTGGGATTGAAATTGACTGAACACATAATATGCAGCAGCTTCACTGTAAACTACATCTCAACACTGTCTCAGTAGAGAATATAGAGGTAGAATGTCAAATTCAAGCACCTGCTATTCACCCAAGTCCGTGTGGATAAATGAATAATCACTTAACGTTTAAACAAAATGACAGCAGGACAAGATTTTTATATCTTCATCTCAGTGAAAAGATAAAATACCAAATCCTGTTATTTTTTTGGTATTCAAGCATACTAGAATATGTAATATCATAGTAATGGTAGAAATTTGATTCATTTTTGTTTTGACATTCTATACAAAAATCCAATAACAAGTCTAAGGGGCAGAACTCTGTTCTAGGCATATTTTATCAACTCTTTTCCATTTGTCTCTGTTGCAAATTTCAATTTAAGTAGAAAATTTCATACATTCCATATAGGGGGTTGGGTAAAATTTCATGAAATTCAGTACACAGACAAGTCTGTGTGGATAAATGAATAATCACTTAACGTTTAAACAAAATGACAGCAGGACAAGATTTTTATATCTTCATCTCAGTGAAAAGATAAAATACCAAATCCTGTTATTTTTTTGGTATTCAAGCATACTAGAATATGTAATATCATAGTAATGGTAGAAATTTGATTCATTTTTGTTTTGACATTCTATACAAAAATCCAATAACAAGTCTAAGGGGCAGAACTCTGTTCTAGGTATATTTTATCAACTCTTTTCCATTTGTCTCTGTTGCAAATTTCAATTTAAGTAGAAAATTTCATACATTCCATATAGGGGGTTGGGTAAAATTTCATGTAATTCAGTACACAGAATAGAATATACAAGAGAACATTTGTGAGAAAAAAAAAAAGTCAAAAATCACAAAAAGACAAAAAAAAAAAATTGTCATTCCAAAGCTAAAAAGTCAAAAAAGCCAATCAAGAATACTAAACGACTAAAAAAGTTTCAAGTTAAAATAGTCAAAAAAATTCAAAAAAATCAACTAAAAAAGTCATCGTCAAACGAGCACTTACTTCAAAAAGATATCGAAAGGTTGCTCGGTTTTAATTTTAAGATTTTAAAATTAAATAAAATGTAATCTGAACAACAAATTATTAAAAAAAAAATAGCACATGATGTATATCACTTTAATAAGTTCAAGATGTTAAAAGTAGAACAACAATCTGTACAGTTGTTGCCAAGTCTTACAAGTTAAATCCAAAATATTGACGGCTTTGGTGTGTTACAGCTATACCATTAAGTGACAAAACATCAAAAAAATTGGGGTATGCCACATGATATGGGTTCTTATTCTAAAATTCAGGCTAAGAAGAAGATAAGAGGATACAAGAATATTACACAATGATATATCTTCTGTTAACCTAGTTAATATAGTAAAAACTAAAAAGTAATAACTAAGCAAAGTTGAATGCCACATTCAGGGTATTTGTGTTCTCTTATTTCATCGGTTCTTCCTACTATGAGTGTGTCTAGACTCAGATTACTTTCTTTTTCATTTCACATAAATGAACGGACTTTTGATATAGAGAAAGGTAAGGTGGAATCAGAGAAGCATGATAAAAAAGATCTTTGCTAGAGGAGTGGTTTTCGTTCCTCGTAAGCCAAACCCCATATTCAACTAAGAGCAGAAACAAGTAGAGTTTACTGACTGTAAAAAGATAAATAAATCCATATTGCATCTTAAAAAGGAATAAAAGATGGTGAAGATGATATGGCAACTAGTCATTGCAAAGCGATTTCACACACACCAAGAATGAAAACTGAAATTACTACATAAAGTAAAACAATTACACTCCAAAACCTTTCACATATTTATTGTTTTGGATAAATAAATCATAGTCCAAAACCCATTGATTTTGTCATCAGAGAAAAGAAAACCAATGACACACCACAAGGAAAGCAAGTAATAAAATAAAGGAAGAAGTCTGTGTACTTGCACAACGTATTCAAACATATAAAGCTTGCAATAGACTTGACAACACTTACCAATAAGACGATCTTCAAAGGTGTCCTGGTTATGACCCTTTGAATTTTAAATAAAACCAGAAGGAATGCAAACATTTGGAACCAATCATTGTGAATGAATACAAGTACTAAATAAGAGGTCTTCCATGTGAAGTGTTGAACTCTTAGATTTTGGAAACGAGTTATATGTGATGACTAAAAAGAAAACTGTTTTTGAAAATTTTAAATTAGTTTGTCTTACTGACTTTTAAAATTTTTAATCCAATAATACAGATGTGTAGAGCCTGAGATGTTGAAATCAAGCCAGCCATTTTGGTAAGATGTACAAATAAACAAAGCTCTTACAGTGTTGCTTCAGAAAGCAGAGGTCGCCTTTTGTTCATAAGCTCCTGTCTCTCTATGAATCCTTGCTGCTTGAGTAAAGTTGAAATAAAACTGCAAGGGAGAAAAATTTAGGTTAATTGAATAGAAATCAAATCAAAATCAAAACCCTAGAAATCAAAATCAAAACTCTAGAAATCAAATCAAAATCAAAGAGAGGTGAGAGAGGAGAAACTGAATTAATCAAATAAAGGATGCAATCCTAGGCTCTCACCAAATTAATCAAAGGCTCTCACCGAATTAATCCAAGGCTCGGAATTAGAATCAAATGCCAAGCTCGGAATCAATCGATTGGTGCTCGTGTAACTAACATCATCGGAGGGGCAGTGGCTGGTGGTGGTCGCTGGTGGTGCTGGTTGTCGCTAGAGAGAAAGGAGAGAGAAGGAGAAGAAAGAGAGAGAGAGAGAGAATAAATGTGTGAGCTAATAGATTGCTATAAATTTGCTCGAAAAAAAAAACCTGAGATGGAAAAAAATTGTGTAATTTTAACAATATTAATAAATAAAAAAATTTGGAGTAGAAAGTTTTAGAAAAAAAGATTTAAGTATAAGTTTATAAATTATTTTTGTATTAAAAAACATGTAGATTATAAATAAAAATTTGTCATATCTACTAGAAATTTATAAATATTTAACGTCTATAATTTTTTACGGCATACTTTTGTATGTCATAAAAAAATCGAATTGATTTTTTTTTTTAAAGAAGTTTTCACGACATTCATTAGCATGCCGTGTAAAGTTATAATATTTTACAACATGAAATGTATGTCATCTTAAGTGAAAATATTTTACGACATATTTTTGTAAGTCGTGAAAACATATATTTTTTACGGCATATTTTTGTATGCCATAAATATATGAATTAACGACTTACATGATATGTATGCTGTTATTGACAAAACATTAACGGCTTGCAAAAAAAAATGTCGTAGAATGTACCAACTACGACATGCATTTAATGTATGCCGTAAACATAATGCCGTAAATAGTGACTTTTGTTGTAGTGATTGATGGTGGCATGCAACAAAGGACACTGATTTATGTTGTGAATTAAAGTAGTTTTTATTGATTTTATTATTATATCGATTATTCCCATTTTAGGTTTGATGTTGTGGTTATATCTTCAGAGGTTGCCAACTATGTGAAGGATGATGATTTAGAATAAGTGTTTTTTGATAAACTATTTTGGTTCGAAAATGATTAAGGTGCTAAACTTTGATATAGTTTTTGGTCTTATAGGTGATGAGAACGCTAATGTTTTTGGATAGATACCTTTGAACAATAATAGATTGTGGTGTTGTTGCTGTTTGAGGAAGCTGTTAAAGGAACTCATTGTTGTCGATCTGTAAGCATTTAAGCCCTATTATGTTCATAGTCTATTCCTTTCATTCGTTGTGTAAGCTAATAATGGTGTTGCAATAATCATGACTTTAGTCTTGAAGAATAGCAGTCTGAATTTTTATGTGTACTATTTTGGGCTACTAAGGCACTAAATGTTGATCTGTGTCTCTTTCCCACAAAAGCTCTTTCCAATCTTTCTTCTCCTTTTCAGTAAGGCACTAAATGTTGGCAATGGACCATATTTTCCTAATATATATATTTTCTTAATCCATTAGAAATTATAGCAGTGTGCTTGTAGCTAGATATTGATGGTGGCATGCAGCAAAGGACACTGATTTATGTTATGAATTAAAGTACTTTTTATTGATTTTATTATTATATAGATTATTCCCATTTTAGGTTTGATGCTGTGGTTGTATCTTCAGAGGTACTTTGCCAACTATGTGAGGGATGATGATTTAGAATGAGTGCTTTTTGATAAACTATTTTGGTTCGAGAATGATTAAGTTGCTAAACTTTGATATAGTTTTTGGTCTTATAGGTGATGAGAACGCTAATGTTTTTTGATAGAAACATTTGAACAATAAAAGATTGTGGTGCTGCTGCTGTTTGAGAAAGCTGTTAAAGGAACTCATTATTCTCGATCTATAAGCATTGAAGACCTATTCTGTTCATAGTCTATTACTTTCATTTGTTGTGTAAGCTAATAGTGGTGTTGCAATAATCATGACTTTAGTCTTGAGGAATAGCAGTCTGAATTTTTATGTGTACTATTTTGGGCTACTGAGATACTAAATGTTGATCTGTGTCTCTTCCCCACAGAAACTCTGTCCAATTGTTCTTCTCCTTTTCGGTAAGGCACTAAATGTTGGTAATGGACCATATTTTCTTATTATTTTATTTTCTCAATGCATTAGAAATTATAACAGTGTGCTTGCAGCTAGGTATTGATAGTGGCATGCAACAAAGGACACTTATTCATGTTATGAGTTAAAGTACTTTTTATTGATTTTATTAATATAGATTATTCCCATTTTAGGTTTAATGCTATGGTTATATCTTCAAAGGTACTTTGCCAACTATGTGAAGGATGATGATTAAGAATGAGTGTTTTTTGATAAACTATTTTGGCTCGAGAATGATTAAGTTGCTAAACTTTGATATAGTTTTTGGTCTTATAGGTGATGAGAAGTTGGTTGGACCATATCTCCTTTACGTTCTGTAGTCCACAGAGCTCCAAGTTCTCCAAGTTAGGAAATGTAACCTGTAGACATTGTGAAAAGGGAGTTCATTCTGTTGTCACCTTGTGAAACTTAATTATGTCTACTTCACAGTTAGAACCTGTAGAGTTCAGTGTTTATAATTTTTTTTTCTTGCTCTTATATTTTGATTTACAATATTGGTGAACATTATAAATCTTATATAATTGTTTCTTAATTTGCATTAAGACTAGGGGGAGTTGTTATTTTATTTGAGTCTTGTAGAGCATGTAATACAAGCAAAATTGTTACAAGTTCTTTAACAAGAAAGATATTTCAATATATTTTTATAATTGCATTTTGATCTTAATATTATTTACACCGTACCTTTAGGCACGGGCATGCGCTAGTATATATATATTAAATAATATTTATAAAACATGACTAAAGGTTTAGAAGGCGTGTTTCAAAAAAAAAAAAAAAAAAAATCAAATCATGTTTCGTTATAAGACCCCTTTTTTGGATTAATGATTTTCTACTAAAAAATTAATTTTAGTCAATATAAATTTTTTTAAAAAAATACGTCAAACAAATTAATATTTTTCAGCATTATTTTTATTGTTGATTTATTTTTAATCAATAAATTAGTTTAAGGTAACTACTAAAGGAAGCTTTAATTTAGCCTTGTTTGGTTATCTCTGTTTTTCTAAAAATTTAATTTTTTTTTGTATTTTTTTATTTGTTTATTTTTAGTGAATTTTTTAATATTTTACGTAATTTTTTTATTTTTTAAATACATTTGAAAAGTTTCATCAAACACAAAAAATGTAAAAATTTAGTACATTTCATATTTATTTATTTTTTTAAATTTATATAAATTGTATACTTATATCAAAATTAAGAAATTTAAAAAGTAAAAAAGATTTCTAAAATTATAAAAATATAAATTAAAAACTCGTAAAATTATTTTTGAAACTCCAAATCAAACATGACTATAGAAAATTTATTTAGAAATGCCACATTTGGGTGATAAACTCCACAAAGATTGATTTAGAAATGCCACATTTGGGTGATAAACTCCACAAAGATTGGTACATATAGCACCAAATAATAATCAAACAAACTAAGGGTGGTTGTGGTTCGATTTTGGACGATTTGTGAATCGATTTGGACCCGCCTGTATGTATGCAGTTTGGGAAAAATTCAACCCGCAATCGCCCGTAGTGCCGGTTGCGGTTTGTGCGGATAAGGTGCACGGATGTGCGGGCAATTTACGAGTTGGATTTTTTTCTTTAAAAATTTATTTTGGAGTTTTTTTTTTCTTCTCATTTTGTAAATATTTATTTTGGGTCCTTTTCCCCCTATCTTCTAAAATGCTCTAACATTAATAATTAATGAATTAAAACTTATAAAATTAAAAACACAACAAAATCAATTTCTAACACAACAAATCATTCAAAATCTTAAACTTTTAAATCAAATAATAAACTAACACAAGCACATCTTTCGAAATTCTAAATTAGATCATCAAATCTCATTCACTATCTACCACCCAACAATATAATTAAAGTAAAATCATTTAAAATTCTAGATTTACCTAAAAGTAATTCTCCACTAACTTTTACATTCATTCAAAATGCAATAATAAAATAACAACGGTCCAGGTTTATAAAAATAAAAAAAATAAAAAATAAAAAGAAGTCTAAGTGCGGGCGGATTCTTGCGGGTGCAGGTTAAACCAGCAACTCGCCCGCAACCTGCAATCATGCCATATTTCAAATCGCATCCGCCCATATTGCGTCTACAAAACCGCCTATTTATATGCGGATCAGTTCGGATTGAATGGGTTGCGTGATTCAGCTAATCCTATGCTCGACTCTAAAACAAACACATAATTCAATTTCTATATGATTAAATGGGCATAATTGCATACATTCAACAGAACTTGTTTAGGGTGTTCTTTAACCGACAGTACATCAACAAACAGTGTTACCCGATTCAAACGGTTAAACGGTATCGATTTCACGTCCTCCAACAGAGACAAAATTGATGTACAGAGCAATATCACATCGTTGTCTGCCTTGAGAAATCAATCCATGTCCCTACGAAATTCAGAACCAAGCATGTAATCATAATGAATAAAGATTGGTAGCTCGAATTGAACTTGTCCAAATGACCTGAATTTTCATTTGCTGATCAACCATTTGGATGATCACTTGGACAACCATTCAGGCAACCAGTGAAATACTTGTCTATCACGATTATCACCTTGTCGACTGTTAGGGAAAATATGTGATTCCCCACAAGTAAATCAATCAATGGGAATAAAAACTAATGCGGAAAAATTAAATCAAAGGCAACACAAAAATTTTTACGTGGTTCCCTCAATGTGAGGTGCGTCCACGGGATCGAAATCCGATTCCACTATCAACCAAATAAGTTCCAAACGATTACAAACGAGACACTAATGGTCTCACAAAATTACCCTTAGGTGAATTCCAAATAATCACAAATAAACAAGAGGAAAGATCTCACCAAATAGATGAACCAAAGTCTTTAGAACCAGAGTTGAAGAAGACCCAAAATAACGAACCAAACAAACTAACCAAATATTCACCAACTTGTTCCACGCAAAACAGTGCACCAACTTGAAAAGAATCAAAGCACCCAATATCAATGTTTGGCTGCCACTCCACTCAACTTTAGAAAAACAAATATATTAGGCCACTGCTGCTCCTTCACCTTCGACACACACAAAACAATATATATATATATATATATATTGTGAATCTAGGGTTTTGTTTTATCAAACTTAGTTGTTTCTAAATTGGATTGGGTCTCCTCAAATATAATATATAAAAATATATTATACCTAAATC